GTGTTGCAATCCTCCTGTTCAACTCTATAAAATTAAGCTGTTACTGCGTCCCGTTCTTATCTTAAAAGAGAGACATATTCTGTGGAGGATTTTTTTTAGATCACATAAAGAGATATCACTCTTCAATACATATTTTTTTGGGTATCTCAAACCGTGTTCGCAGAGTACGCAACGGAAACCCACAAGGATGAATAATTTTCCCGTTTTTCCACATTTTCCGCTGTTTCATTGTACTCCTATTACTCGCAGCGCCATGTGTTATAGCCTACAGCCTTCATCGATTAATGTTCTAACCAATACAAACAAAATATACAAACCTGAGTTCCTGGGATTACCGCGTTCAAACAAACAAACTCACCAGCTTAATATATTAGAACGTATGTGCTGTTCACCAGATGAGCTACCGTGCTGTCTTTTATCAATAGTCCCCCTTAAAAAATAAGCGTAAAAAAAAAAATTTTGCTTTTAGCAACTATATATTCTCTTATTAGCTCAGCATTAGCTCTTGGACTCGGTAGCTCAATTAGTAGAGCAACAGCACGAAACGCTGACGATGCCGATTCAAGTCCTGCCCGAGTCGAAATATTTTTTTAATTTATTTTGCAATCTTTAAATTATAACGCGCCTTCATGTGCAAATAACATGTGAAAATATTAATGTTTTCAAACTATATATTTTGAGAGAATTTAAAAGTTTTATTTATTGTGTATTGATAGATTTATAACTTTTCATGCATCAAATATCACGGTGTATCAATTTGTTCGTCTGCGAGAACTGAATATTAAAAATCACTTATCGCCTGAACTGATTTAGTTTCAAGTATGGTGTGAATTGAGTTTTAACAGGCTGTTTACCCACACACAATGTTTTTCATACCCTAGTTGTACCTACTAACTACTAATAGCTACATGCGTGAGGTCGGAGTTCGATCGTTGGTCATGCATCTAAATAACTATGATTATATTTATTCTGTAAGACAAGCATGATAACTTAATAGAAGGTGAAACATCTCTACAAGATACGCTGTTGACCCATATTAAAATTGGCTATCCGAATTTAATGTAATTCGGTCCACAACTAAAACACAGGTGGCAAGGAGAAAAAAGATTGATATTTTCATGAAAGACTAAAATTGCAATACCAGATAAAAATTAAAAATCGATCATAAATTTAAAGAAATACAACACAGGCTGGTCTCGAACCGGCACCCAGCGTTCCGTGCTCTAACCAATTGAGCGGCGTCAACCGTGTGACCGTGTGTAACATGTGAAAAATATTAATGTTTTCAAATACCAGATAGAAATTATAAATCGTTGAAGTTAAAATATTGCATGTATTCATTTAGTTACGTTTATCGTAATCGTATAAACATTTGTACATACAATTTCTATAAGAAGTACTGTAAGTCTGTAGTTTACGCGAGTGACGGCTGTTGCAAAGCATCCGAAACGTCGGGCCGTAGTTAAAAATAATTCTTAAACAAGTTCAACTAAAATATATCGCGTTTAAACCGTTAAAGTGTTTTATTTAAATGTGTAGTACTCACGTAAACTACAGACAGTATTTAGTAAGTACACATTTAAATAGTCTCTCCGTGACCACGACTACTGCAAAGCATCCGAAACGTCGGGCCGTAGTTAAAGATGATTTTCAAACAAGTATAACTAAAGTATACCGCATTTTAAACCGTTAAGGTGTTTTATTTAAGTTCATTAAGAAGTGTTTTTGAGGTATAAGTGAAAAAGTTATAGTGCGTTTGATAAGACGTAGGTAGTAGAGATGCAACGGATATCCGGTTACTATTCGGTATCCGGCCTATCCGGCCACTATTTTACTATACGGCCGAATACCGGATAGTTGCGCACTATTCGGCCGGATTCCGAATAGTGATTTATTTAACTTTGAAAAATGTTAGTATGCATACTACAAAATTGATAATTGATAAATTACCAATATTCGTTTATTAGTTAAAAAATTGAAAATAAATTGAAAAAATTTTTCGACTCGGGCAAGACTTGAACCGGCATCGTCAGCGTTCCGAGCTGTTGCTCTACCAACTGAGCTACCGAGTCCTACACCTCGTCGTCGAATTTTTTCAACTTATTGATACATGCACCTCTCGCGTATTGTAATTTCAACCTTAACACATGTGTATTAAGGTTCAACGTCTTACGATTTGCAGCTTAAGAAATCGTCGAACAGCACGGAACGCTGATGGTTCAATTCCTGCCCGAGTCAAAATTTTTTTCAATTTCTTTTCGATTTTTAAATTATATAGTGCCTTCATGTGCAATAACATGTAAAGAATAATAAAGTTTTCATTCGTTTATTAGTTTTAACATACAATTTAAACTTATCAAAATCCATTCAACCAATGGTAGCGTATTGTATGTTAATTTTTAATCAAATAAAATAAGAGTTACCATATAAATAAAAAGAGAGAACAATACGTAACAGGTTGAAACTTGCACGACGCGCGCGCCGCCAAACTAAAATATACATAGGTATCGTTTGGCTGGCCGAATATTCGGCGGCCGGATACCGGATATTCGGCCAGTCGTGAGGCCGAATATCCGGTATTCGGTATCCGGCCAAACAACTATCCGTTGCATCACTAGTAGGTAGTTCAAGCTACGAAAGCTCCGAAGCAACTTTTTCTGTATAATCTATGCAATTAACACTCCCGCATACCGAAACCATAATTTGCACACTTAAACTGTCAAACGCTTAGCCTTGATTCATTGACACTTCAGCACAGATAAAAACACCACATGTTTTACCAGGAACGATTAGCTGAACGAATTAGGAATGACATCCGATAGTTTTTGCGATACGGCCACACGCAAACGTACTCTGTGGGCGTGCCGAAACTATACTAATATTATAAAGGCGGTGAGTTTGTTTATTTAGGCGTTTTGTTTAAGGACGAAGTAACGGTGAAAAACGTGTAAAAAATGATTGTTCATCTTTGAAGATTACAGTTGCGTGCTCTGCGAAAACGGTTCAAGATGTATGTATGAAAGAATGATTCCTGTTTAAATAATCTAAAAAATGACTTTTGAAATTAATACGCAAGAACGACGAGATGCGGACGGCGTCGTGAGTTACACATCATTTATAACAATGAGGAGTTTTGCAAATTTTGATGCCCAACATAACTAATATACGCTGATGAACTCGCAGACATAGCTAGTATGCGATATTATATCGAACGCTAACCGCGAGTTTTGATTATATAAATACTTTTGAAATCGGGACTGGAAAACTTTATATACAGTTTTGGTATCTTTCTTTGGTTATATATTTTAGTGACAAAATTACGAAATACAGTATTACATAGTTTAATAATCCTCCAGTGAAGTTGACTACCTTACTAAGGAAGTTATGTAATATACATAATATTTACTGAACGTCTGTATTGTGTGTAATAAACCTTGGGCGTGTGAAAAAAATGTAGTTGACAAATGAAATAATCATGTTTTATATAAAAACTTTTAAGTTAAGTAAGTAAAGAGAGAGATTTTTAAAGTAAATAATTATCTTAAAAAAGAAAAGTTACATGAAAAATGTTTTTTCTCCATCTTAATATCGCACGTTTTATTCATACACTAAGTCATCTTTGCAAATTTATAATGGCGTAAACTCCGAAAAAGACAAATTTTCTTTAAAGCTTCCCAAGTTAACGTCATGGGAAACATTTTCAAAGGTAACGAACGAAAACGTCCTTTCTTTCAACTAACCGACTTTAAAAGCTTTCTGTCAAATAATTCATACATAAATCGTCTTCTATCCATAAATAACCACAACGTGGGGTGCGGTCGAAATTATTCAACCATAACCAATTTTAATTCCATAATAAACAAACTAAAAATCATGGGAACTGTTAAGCCATATTGGCCGCAGACGATAATTAACTAAAGTACAGATAATTATAAAAAGAAGGCGTCAAAATAATATTTTTCTCGGCCATATGGTACGTCTATGCAAGATATAAAGTACTAGAAGTGGCTTAATAAAATAAACTTGATATCATGAATTTTCCACTAATTAACAGTTAGATGTTAAAAAACAATTGACGGGCTCTGATGTGTAATGGAAGCAAGCGGTCGTGGGTTTGAACGAACCACCGCTCACAGACGAAAAAGGCATGGATTTAATCACGTGTCGGTTCAGTCTATAGATTCCCTAATATCCACCAAAGGCTGAGGAATTTCATCCTGTCTGTCCTTCTTCATCATTAAAAAAAATTGTAGTATTTGATGTTATACATCTTAGATGCGACATCGGCAGGCACAGTGAAATGATATAATTCTATTCGCCGTAACTATTTATTAAGTTTACCGGGATTCAAACTTACTAACACCAAATTATTAAACTTACCACTTTTAAGTATTATTTTATTTATTAATTAGACAATCTATACTATAAACAATACTTCATTTGCTATTTACACAATATTAGATATCCTGTCCTATCCAGTAATTTAATGTCGCGTTTCATTGATAAACTCTGTCACCACATGGCTAAGCATGTGCGACACACATTACTATGGGTAATTATACTGAAATAGATTAAAAGAAATTATAACTTCATTAGGACCGGATGAACGTTTATGATCTTTCTTTTAATGAAGTCAAAAGAAATCGTTTTTACATAAAAAGAATAAGTTAAATACCTACTGTCTGCTTACGCAAGTAGTACACAACAGTAGTAAATAAAACACGTTTTAAACAAGAAAGGTATTAGTTAAACTTATTTACTAATGATAATAAAGAATACTACGGCCCGACGTTTCGGATTAATTAATATATTTCGCGTTTAAATATTCAGTAATTGATAATTGATCGTTTGTAAATTGTATTTTGGTTCCTTTTTTGTGCTATTAAATAAATAATAAGCATAATTTAGAATCTTTTTCTTTTCCAGATAATGTCATTGGTTAGATGATAGAGGTTCAAATGTATCGAGATTCGGACCAACATGTGCCGGAATAAAACAAAATGGCGCTAGTCGAAAATGAGTTACGAAAGTGCGGGCGCGTGGATGATTCAAAATTCAAAAATAGAACATCCATCGAAAAACGGAAACGCGGGACGGATGTTTGGTTCCTGTTAGTGATCTTTGTTACCGGTTGTCATGGTTACGAGGAACAGAGGTTCGCGATGGAGCCGCAGGATCAGGTATGTACATATTTTTTAAACTATCCACATTGTCTTAGAATAGTTTAGCATTTATTTAAAAAAGTTGGAAAGTTGTAAAAAAAATATTATTTTAACATGTATGCATAGTGTTATATAATAAATTAAAAATCAATTCGTCGAATTGGTCAGAGCACCACCACGGATCGTTGCGTAGGCTGCTTAAACCATAGTTAATGATTTTAAAAATTTAAATAGGTTTTTAAAGTAATTTTTTTTTACATTACATGCGAACAGTAATTTTAGTTAGTATTATTATTAGTTATTATTTACGAATTAGGTAATACTATGTACGTAGATGATAGGGTAACTATTTAACTGCGCAAGAGTTTTTTTTTTTAAACTTGATGATTATCGGAATACACTAGTTCAATTAGTAGAGCAACATTACTATAGTCCTTCCCTAGTTAAATTTATTTCAATCTTTAAAAAACATAAGGGTTTTTAAAAAACATTTTAAGTGATTTTATATCTATAAAGCAAAACGTGCATAAAATAAATAAATAACCATTGCATAGTTATAAAATTAAGTTTTATTACGGTTTTACGACTTGATCACAATAATTTTACTGGGTCAACGACCTGGTTGATTGCAAAGCTTAAAAGCTTTAATTGGGATACTTTAAGTGACAACTTTTGTTTTTGATACCGTGCGTGACGTGAATAAATAATAAAAACAGAATTCCTCTTGTCGCTAACTTATACAGATATTATTTAAATTTTATAATCTATTCGTTTACAATCGATAGCTCTGTAACCAAATGGTTAAGCCTGAGAGGTCCCGGGTTTGAATTCCGGGGAAACAATAGATGGTTTCGATCTGGCAGGGCAGGCGACAGACAAGTCTTCGCCCTATGCCCCACGGGGAGAAACGGGATTTCTTTTATGTGTTTATAGGTTGAATTATACTGTATATACGTCGACATATATATGTGTGTGTTATTATATAATTACTATATTTCTTCTTTCTTCTTCTGCTTTCTATATCCTGAGTTCTGACAGAACTAAGTTTTCTTTTGATTTTCCCTTATTAATTTCAAATATACTCTCATACATATGCTTTTTCTAATCGTTTAAATTGGTTTTATTTAGGCGTTAATAGATTATAACGGCATTTCATAAATTACGAACAACATTCATATCTAGTTTACTATTTTGTCAAAATATACGGAACCAGTTTTCCTAAATGTTTAATTCATTTGACCAATTTTTGTTATTAACGTAATTACTTACGTCGTAACTATAAATCATACTACGCTTATATTAAAACCAGATTGATATATTAAATTTTGAATAAATTATACAATAAATAAACGTGTTTTCTAATGAATATTCATATATTTGAATAAATAACGGTTTTGTGAGCTACTTTTTGACGTAAAATTTGTGAATTGGGATCAAAACATTGGATTGGGGTCTTTGGAATAAAAAAATAATGGAACAATTTACAGAAAAAAGAACCTCTTATTTAAAATTAAATGTGAATAGTTAGGATAATATTGTATTTGAAAACTTTAATATTTTTACATGTCTGAAAATTTTTTTGACTTGGACAGGATTTGAACCAGCATCGTCAGTATAATATAGTATTATTTATGTCTTATGTACGTTTTTCTTAAATGATGATATAACACATACAAACATACTTACGACAAAGTCACAGAATTTAATAATTATAAATGAAATGTTGATTAACCGGCGATAAGAAAGCAGTAAGGAAATAACAGAATTATATCCTAGAGAAGGAAAGGGAAAAGAGGGCGACCCCGGAAAATAGGTCGATAACACAAGTGAAGTGGCTGGAGTGACATGGAACAGAGGTCAGGATGAAATGGAAAAGGTTGAAGGAGGCGTTCGTAATGCACATTTTCTCAAGTAGAAGTTTGACGAAGAAACCCGAAATATTTATTCACTAGCCGTGTCAGCCCACGACGTTCGTGCAATTTAATCTGAAGAGATATACATATAGTGTCGGGGACATTTTTTTAGATCGTTTAAAGAGGAATCATTTTTTCATACATATTTTTTGGGTATCTTGTACCGTTTTGCAGCGTAATCGGAAACCTACAACTTCACTGTCTCTTTGCTCCTATAAGTCGCGAAGCGATGTTTTATAGCCTTCCTTGATAAGTACTCTAACACAAAAATAATGTTTCATTTCAGAGCAGTAGATCTTGAGGCTTCCGCGTTCAAACAAACAAACTCTTCAGCTTTATATATTATCATAAATAAATTAGTTACAATGGTGACGTTAAGATAATGATTAGTGAACTAAATATGCTTATTCTACAAAAGAGAAAATTTATCGCCATTATAAAAATGTCCCGTGAAAGCATATAAATATTAATAAGAAAGATGTTATCTTTTTTAATATGCATGAGATTAAGAATGTCGCTTGACGAATTTTGATCAATAGTAGGAGAATGTTAAAATTCTGACGACCTTGCGTATTATAATGCCGTTGTGTGGTTTAATTCAAAAGCGGTTCAACCTATCACAATATACTGTATTTTGCTAATAAAAATAGTAAGTTTGTCGTCATATAATAACGTATTTACGTAAATTAATGCTCATATAAAATTAAATCAATCTTTCTTATGATAGATGAGGCCAGATAAACGTATGGTTCACTTAATGGCAGGTAAAATACCTCATTCCTGTGGATTTCAACCTTCCATTTAAAGCACACCGGTCCTTCTTCTCCTTACGATACATGTAAAAAGATCGCTATTATCTTATACTCAAACAGAATATTTGTCATAGGACACATATTTAGCCTTTTTAAGTTTTCTGATAAAAGTACACACACGTTTACAAAATCAGATCTTCCTAACTAACGCGAAATAGTTAAAATCGCGAAATATTTTTAAGCAAAGAAGCAAATAAAATAACGGCCAAATTAAAACATTCCATTACTACTGATTTATAATGCTGGCTTCTACTGGAATTACTTGCACTTCATTTATTTTTGAATATACTAGATACTAAAATATTAAAAAAACAGTTAATCCAGTTGGTCTTGGTGATTAACGTCGGCTCGCAAGTTCGATCCATATTACAAACTGGCCCTAAGTCTATACCTTGTACCACGCACAATCCGAATGATAATTACTATTCTCATAATTTACATAGTTATGTAGTTGTTTTGTTTACTGGTCTTATCACCTTTTATAATTAACAGAGTTTGACATAAAACACGAAAGCCCCATAAAAATGAAGATCTAAATCTTTTCGTGGAATCCGATTTCTCCAAATTATTAGCGACTTAAGGATCTGTTTCAATAGATTTTAACGTTAAAATATATGATATAACTCAGATTGTATAAAATTTAAATTTTATTATATCTTCGCATTTCAGAAGTTTCTACTGTTTAAAATATAGATAAGTAAAAATAACGGATGTAATAAATATTTCAGATTAAAATTTGTCAACCTACAAAACCATATGCAATAAATAATAAATATAGTATAATAGAACTTTATTTATTTTTTAAATAATGATAAAGTTTATCTAATTTAGCGAAAATTGCAATTGAATAGCTTCTCCAGTTGAAAAATTTCTGAATAAGTAGGTATAGAGTGTTGTATAAGGAAACAGAACACATTTAACGGTTTAAAACGGAAGTACGCGAAGTTAGTTAACTTATGTTTATTTTATATTAGGCCCGACATTTCGGATGCTTTGAAGCTGCTTTAATTTTAAAAAACTAGAATATTTCGCGTTTTAAACCGTTTAAAGTGTTTGAATTAAATTCTGAGAATAGTTTACCGTTGCTACAGTATCTAAGAGTAGATAAAGGTGTTTATTTTTTACGTAACTACGAGAGACGTGAGTAATTATTTATCGACAGAATGTAGTATACAATGACAGCTATTTTCTTTCACATTAAATTAGTGTGTGACGCAAAGTGTTAATTGTGTGCGACTGGTGTTTTAAGTGTGATAAAATGGAAACTAGTTTTTATGGTAATAACACAGTATATTCTGGGTTGTTGGTTCGAGTTACGCCCGTGTAATATTCAATTTAAAATGACTTCAAAACTTTGTATCTGCTATAAATATTTTTTTAAGACACGGCCAGGACTTGAACCGGCATCCACAGCGTTCCGTGCTTTTGCTCTAACTAATTGAGCTACCGTGTTAACACGTCGGATTTTCTTAAATGGAAGGTGTCACTAATGTTTAAGTCAAATTTGACACCCACTAACTAACTTGACCGTAGCTAAAATAAATTGTTAATAAGTTAACTAGTGTATTTCGCGTTTAAAAGTGTTTTATTTCAATGAGTACTACTTGCGTAAACTACTGGCAATGTTTAAAATTAATTTCTTTTTAACAGAGCGCGATCGTGGGATCCCGAGTAACATTGCCATGTCGTGTGGAACACAAGGCTGGGACATTACAGTGGACTAAAGACGACTTCGGTCTTGGTACTCATAGGAATCTCAGCGGATACGAGCGGTACAGCATGATTGGAAGTGATGAAGAAGGTGTGTATGTATAAACGCTAAATAGGACTACAGTGCATCTTAGATTATAACGCTATTTTTGTAGTTGACTGTAGGGTGCGAACATATTTCTGTGTCCGTCTCATTGATCGGTTTCTATTATAGGCAACTAGTTTATTCTACTTTGTGACTTGACCGACTGAAACAATATATGGTTTAACCGGGATTCGAACCTATGTCCTTGCACTTAACGCAATGCTAGGCAACACATTTAATAATTTGGCCACAGAGGCGGAAAAGTTGACACATTAAATAAACATTTTTTTCTGGTAAAACGTGCAGTTTAGCAGCCGTTGTCATGGCATGCAAACGAATTAGATACACCTGAACGCTGTTAATTATTATCACATTTACAACCGTTAAAAATGTTTTATTTAAAAACAAGAAAAACTAATACATATACGATTCATTTTTACTAAATTTAACTAATTCATTACGCAGGCTAAACCGATAAAAGTGTTGTATTTAAACTCGCGTAAACTACAGACAGTATTTAGGTATTATGTTTATACAATTTTTTTATGAGCAATGTACTAATAATATGCAATGAAGATTTATCTCGGGAACTGCTTTTATCACAAAATTCCTCTCATAAGTATGGTCTATATTTTTTCCGAATGTTATAGAAGCGTTACTAAATGATTGATAACATCAAATATTTTCAAAGTAATCCTAGTTTACGAGTTCATTGTTAGAACGTATTTCTATTCGCAGCGCTGGGACATGGGTAGAAACGATAACGAAATTTCTGGCGTTTTCCAAAAAAGAACGCCTTCAGTTTTTCCATCTAAATTTCTAAAAATGAAATTTCAGGCTTCTTTTCAGTAAGAACGAATTTTCGTATAAAGATAAAGAGATGGTACAATAAGTTGACGAAACTAGGTGGCGAGCGGGCGGGCCGACCCCAAAAATCTCTGCCAAATTTTCCTACAACAAATAAAACAGTTTAAGGCCGTTATTTTTCGTCACTTTTAGGTCAATGTGAATATCGTCATCCAGGTTATGAAGAAATAACTGACTTAAGTCTGTAGTTTACGCGAGCAGTACATATTTAAAGAAAACGTTTTAACGGTTTAAAACGCATAATATATAGGTTAAATTTATTAAATCTTAGTAACTACAGCCCGACGTCTTAGATGCTTTGCAGCAGCCGTGGTTACGTCTAATCTAAATGGATAATCGTAGTTAAAAATAATCTATAAATAAGCTTAACTAATATATCGCGCGTTTTAAACCGTTAATTTTTTATTGTAATGGATTAATCAAATTGCAATTTATTTTTTAGTTGTTTTTATTCCTAAATCTGTAATATAATATAGAAACTTTTAAAACACCGGCTGTTTCGATGTTTGTTGACAGCTGAAAACAGTTCGGACGAAATTTGTATTTCCCAAAATAAATTTAACGTTTCCGAATCGTAATTTACCTAAATATTTCATTGCGTTACATAGGTGTGCTACATAATTTAAATGCTTTGCACGCAAAACGTTTAGACAATGCATTTAAGCTTTAGTCATGGAATCTTACTACTAATATATAAAGCTGACAAGTTTGTTTGTTTGTAGGCGCTAATCTCAGGAACTACTGTGTATCGAATTGTAAAAAAAAATTTTGTGTTACTTAGAGCATTTCTCTAAGAAGGCTAACAGGCTTCATAGTTTCAAAACAATTGTAATACAAAAAAATAATAATTAAATACCGTCTGTAGTTTACGCGAGTAGTACACATTTGAATAAAACACTAACGAATCGTCGGGCCGTAGTTAAAATAATTTTCAAATAAGTTTTACTAATATATATCGCATTATGAGCCGTTAAAGTTTATTAAAATTAATAAAAAATAATAATACTAAATGTAGTAACGAATGTAGTACACGTAATAATATTAGAATTATATCGAAAACCTACTTGTGCTAAACAAATCTTTATTGCATGCTTCAGATATACATTAATAATTATGACTTGAGGATTTCGTTTTAAGAGTAGCTTGGTATAGTGCCCGTCTCAAAGAGCATATATTATTAGGTTTTACGCAAGAGGTCACCGAACTATAGAGTACTGAAAATTTATGTATGACGCACAGTCCAAGGCCATTTTCATATGTTTAATGTATATACGCGGATTCTTTAACGCATATTTCTGTAAATAAAACATATAAACGGTTTAAAACGCGTTATATATAACTTATTAGAAAATTATTTTAACTACAGTCGTTCGATGCTCAGACGTGGTATGAGGACAATTCGGAGGGTGTCTCTGACGACAAAGTATAAAACTGCTACGCTAGCGCCATCTGTTACGTCGAAGTTGGTATTTAGCGAAACAGGGGGCCGGGTTCGCGTTTGCCGTTATACTTTTTTATTGGAATCTAGAGTTATAAATATATCGCGTTTTAAACCGTAAAATTGTTTTGTTTAAATGTGTACTTCTCGCTTAAATTACAGACAGTATTATGTTTAATGTATGTTACTCGTAGATTTTACTTCAATGCCATAACCTAAATATATTGTGTATCTCCTATTTGTTTAAAAACATTCTAGAACGCAAAAACCGTATTTCATTTATCGGTCGGTGATTTCGAACTTTTTCCAATGATCGGGTACTTTACAAATGAAACAGCTTCGATTCCTATTCAATTAATTTTTTTACAGGCGACTATTCTCTCGACATCCGCGACGTGACGTTGGAAGACGATGGTACCTACCAGTGTCAAGTTAGCTCGGGTCTTAGTGGTAAGTAAAAAAAACTTATTAAGTATTAAAAAACAATTGAAATTTTTATTACAGGGACGGTTATGTTGAGTTTCCTAAATGAATCAATTTTCCACCTGTTTAATTGTTGTCTGTTGAATAATAAAAAAAGAATCCTCTACAGTCTACATAGATTTTTATTAAAATAGATATTAAAAATTATTAAGCATATAATATGTGACTATAGCAAGTTGAAGTTTATAATCTGTGCTGTATCCACTTTATCTAGAATTTAATCAAGCTTCAATAAATATATTACGTACTTTGCTTATCTAGTAGAATTAAGCACGGTCCCGTTGGTCTAATGACAGTATGGGTAATAATCAACAGGTCGCGAGATTCGATTCCCACGGGTCTAATATGTTTTTAATTTCTCAACTTATAATTTTTCTTTGGAAAACTGGATATAAAATGGGTGGTAGGAAAATCGAAATTCCATCCGAATCACAAACCACCGTCTACAGAAAAAGCCGTGAAGCTTAATCGCGTTTCGGTTTCAGCCTGTACATTCCCGAACGTCCAATGCCAAAACACAAGCACAACTTATAAAGATGTTATATGACTGGGGTATTCCATCTCCCATCTAGTGAACTCCAACCCTGTCTGTCCCCTTCTATAATGAAAGAACTTCGCAACTTCAACACATCTTCAAACGTACTCAAAAGTCTTTTAATCAACAGGTGCACCAGCAATAAGGTCAAGATATGCCCACCTCACTGTCCTGGTAGCACCAGATCCCCCAAGAATATTACAAGGTGCCTTCATAGATTCTACTGAAGATCAACCGGTGGATATAGAGTGCGTTTCAGAAGGTGGAAAACCCGCTGCTGAAGTGAGTCCCATTTCGTCACTTCGGTTTAATTTTGCAGCCGAAAAACAACTAATAATTATTAACGCACATATTTTTTTTTGTCTATTGATTTAATTTCATAATATTTGTCAATAATTAAATAAATTGTTACAAAATTGTATTTATATTGTGTGTTGTTGTATTGTCCGCGAGTAGTACCTATACATATACATAATTTTAACGGTTTAAAACGTGAAATGTATTAGTTAACTTATTTTAAGTACGGTCCGTCGTGTAAAAAGAACGCTTTAAACTTTTCGCATGTAAAGCGTTAAAGTGTTTACTTGATTATTAAATCATTTTTTATTGATTTTGAATTACTTTAGAAAACAATGGCTTACAAGGTATTTATCATAATTACTAAACGAACTTCATTTTCCAGATAACCTGGGTAGATGGAAACCAAAACGTGATTAAGAATAACGTACAAAGCAAAGTAGAGTTGTTACCAGACGAACAGAGATATAGGACAAGGTGAGTTATCTTCTGGGAAAATCAATGGATTCAGACATTAACATTTTTTTTGGATTAGACAAGTTAACAGACGCAAATCGAACCGGCTCAAACAAGCTCAAACTACCGAGTCATATAGCTTGATACAAATTTTAATCATTTTGTGTATCCCGCTTAGTTCGCTTAATTACGATAAAATACGAACATTATGTTAAGCGAAAGAAAGTGATTGAAGATGAGATTATAAAGTTATAACATTCTCACACGTTAAAAGAGAAATTGGATACTAGTATTATTAAAATCATAGTTAAATTTATACCAGCTATCGTTACTTTTTGAAGATTACAATAATTCAAGTTAAAGAGATTTTAAAATAAAGAATCTACTTTGGATTTATAAAGATATCGATTACAATTAAAACCAGCTTTGTCTACACTTATAGATAGGAAAGATTTGTATTTCTGTTTGTTTGTCAGAAACTCAAAAACTACTTTTAAGAAACCTTGCACGGGAACTGCTAAAAGCATCCGAACTGTCGGGCCTAAGTTAAAAATCATTTTCAAATAATTTACCAATATATCGCTTTTAAACCTTAAATTATAAATTGTACTACTCGCGTAAACTATAGACAGTATTCCAAAACTACTGTCAAAATATTTCACCATTAGAAAGCTACATTCATTCTGAGTAACATAAGCTATATTTATTGCTTAAAAAAGATTATCGTTATTAAAACTCTAGTAATTAAGCCGTAAAAATAGTAAACGAAGATGTTAAAAGCTCTTCTTACTTTTAGGTTGTGTGGAAGAGATTGCTTGTTAAGGCCACCCGTTGCTATCCATTCTAGTATATGTTTAATCTGTATTTTTTCTGCGCAATAAAGATTTAATAAATAAATATTGCTATAAAACGTATTTCGTCGCATGCGCTGATAAAACTGTTGATTATTGTAGATTGAGAGTATCAAGTGGTTAGAGGCTATTAACTAATGTCAGTAGTAATATCAACTGTCTATTTCAGGTCTGTGCTGCGGCTTATACCCAGTAAAGCTTACCACAACCAGACGATAACTTGCCAAGCCCAGAACACAGCAGATAGGGCGTATAGAATGGCGACTGTACATATTGAAGTACGTATCTAAGTTCGATGCCGTACCCAAAGCACCTAATCCTAACCTTATTTTTAAAAACTCTCTATTGATCCCCTATCTCTTTGTATCTGTATACTGTATATATTATTATCTATCTAGATAGGGCTCTCAAACACAAAACAATTGTTCTTAATGAACTCATATTTAGAACTTAATTAAGACTTTTGTTTTTTATTTGTATCTAATATTTTACACAGTTCATTTAGTAACAAAAAGCAAAAATAACCTAATAATATATGAAATTCGATCCTGTAGGTAAAATACGCGCCAAAAATTAACGTCAGCATTAAGTCTGGTTCTGTCAACGGCAGAGTTCCAGAAGGTTCTGAAGCCAGATTTCGGTGTTTGGTTGACGCGAACCCTCCTGCCCAGGTCTATCGTTGGTACATCAACAACAATCCTGTTGTTGGGGACTATACCGATGAAATGGTAAGTACTTATTCTTATTGGAGCTTAAACAAAACACTTTTAACGGTTTAAAACGGGAAGTGCATATTAGTTACCTTATTAACTATTTATTTAAATACGGCCTTACACGAAGTTTCGGGTGCTTTGAAGCAGCAATGGACGATGGGGTCAAGTCGCAAAAGGGGACAAGTTAACTATTATATTTCCCATTTTAAACCGATCAAAGTGTTTTATATAAATTTGTACTATACGCGTAAACTACAGACAGTTGTTATTAAGGTTTTTACTGATCAAACAACAAATATTTAAATGTTATTAACCCTAAAAAAATAGTATCATCAAAAAATATGTAACAGGCGGGATTCAAACTCACAATCAACGGTCTACCTTGCTTGGGTCTAGTAACGATTTTTAATCGTGGGCTAGAGTAACTATTTATACCGAACTATATTATATCTATGTATAATCTACTATTTTATACTAGTACTTAATGTTGTTTAATTAAAGAAGCTTCTGTTTGGAATTATTCAGAATATAATACCAGGAACTAAACTCAACTCTTTAATCTGTGGCCGGTTAATTAATTATTACGGATGAATATCAAGGAGGTTATAAAATTATTTTTAATTTAGTGAAAAACAGAAACAAGAAAAGCGAAAAGAAATCTGTATTATGTTTAATGTGATAACGTTTCTACATTTACGTGACTTCAGTACAAATTACGAAATAACGTCGTTATTCCGTGCCTACATTTGGTAGGCTTATTTAATATTTTCACATAACACATTCACTCGTCTCGCTCAGCGTATGTAACTATGTCTATTCAAGTACAACATATTTACAGAAAAGTGATTCTATGTGGACGCGTTTTGTTTATCCATACTAACAAAATAAAGCTGTAAATTTTTTGAACGCGCTTATCTCAGGAAATACTGGTTCGAAAAGTTCGATCGAAAATTTTTGAGTCGGTTAGAGCATTACTGAGGAGGGCTGTAGGCTATAAAACATTACTCTGCGACCTATAGAAGCTATGAAACAGTAGGATTTGTAAAAAAACAGGGAAAATTCATCTTTGAGGGTAGCCGTTGCGTGCGCTGCGATAACGGTTGACCCAAAAAATATGTATTCTTTGCTGACGAAGTTGTTGGCACAGCTAGTAAATAATTATAGCCAAATACTTACCTTATTAGAGATATTGTCCGTAGTTTCGAGTTGTCCACATTAAAAATCACGTTAAAAGTGAGTTCAAAATCCGGTATATATATCCGAAAGTATAGTTCTTCCTTCTTTGAAAGACTTATTTCAAATAAGAACTTTCGTTTTTCAATGTAAAGAATTTTGTGAGCTAAGCAAATAGTCTTTGAATAGTGTTGCTACGTCAAAATAAGCCCCCCGAGATCGTTTTATATGGCGAAGGTCGAGGTAATGTGTTATCTGGAATCAGCTTCAGTGAAACGATCTGACCAGAGCCACTAAACACGACATCAGCCCGCTACAGTGAGGGAGCCCTGGTAACACGTTTGTACGACTCCAAAGCACTCAAAACACATACCGCTAACGTGCATTTCGTACTAAGAAGTTACATTGGCTCGCCTCTATGCTAACCTGCATATTTCAGAGCTGCAACGGAAATGTTGAATCCTGAAAATTAACCGCATAATCTGTAGCCATTTCTGCAGTGGGGTGAATTTTTCAAAAGCTCTCTTCGTACGCTATGCAAACTTGGTACTCTAATGAAATTCACGGAAATAATTGCTTACTTTATCTTTATTGTATGCGAAAATTAACCTATGCATACTAAAATATGACTTTCGTACAATGCGTGGAAATTTCGTTTTTACTTACGTTGCCGAAATTGCGAATTTAATATGTACATTTCATTATAGCTAGCCGTGCGGCAAGATTTTAAATAGACAAGCGCGCTGAATGAACGAACGTACGAATGAATGGATCGAGAGATAAGAGAAGGTCAAAGTAGAAGCGTTAAAAAATTACTTCGTTTTCAGACACGCGGAATTGATGAATTAATTTCAAAAGATTTTTTTCATCAAAACATTAAAGTAACGAACGCGGCTCTAATTAATTTTAATCGCGAGAACAAAACTTAATTAAGGATAAGCCGAAATACATTATGAAAATGTGAACGAATTAATTGCATTAAATGTAATATTTAATTTTGTGCCTTTGATAATACATTCTATTAAAATTTTAATTATGAATACATTAATATTTTTTTACATATTATCTCATAGGAGGGCATAACATAAATTAAAAATCTATTTTTTCCCCCTCGTGGGGCATGGGGCGAACGCATTTCTATGTTCGTTTCACTGATCCACTGCCCTGCCCGACCGAGACAATTGCGTTTCCCTGGGATTCGAACCCAGGACCTCTCTCGCTTAACGCAATACTAGGCAAGACGTTTAACCATTTGGCTACAGAGGCGGTCTAAAAATCTATTTAGATAGAAAAAAAAACACACTTGCTGCTGCTCAAACGCCTACCATGTCATGTTGTAGTTGCCGGTTCAACTTCCGACCGTGTTGTATTGCTTTTTTTTTCATAATTTAGTCTTAATAAAAATATTTCATATAACATGCGATCTTATATACAATTTAGGAATCATAATATCACATTATTTGTTACTATACTGTATTTTTCATGAAGAAAGCTCATAATTCCTTTGTTAACAATAATTCCATTTTGCGTCAATCGCTTACGATCCACGCCTTCAAGTAATAAGTCTATATCAAGACACGCTGTTTTATAGCAAATATAATTCAGCCTTTATGAGACCAAACATCTGACCTTAAGATGGCCGCGTCAAAGGAAAGGACACTATGCATTACAATTCTTCGAAAATACATAGAAAGGAATTAGGACTGTGTTAATTAATAAGGTAGTTCATTAGTTTAGTAGTTATATTTTTTTATTTTATTTATGTATTCAATATAAATATTATATTACATATATTGAATACATACATATATTTTTTAGTAATTTGATGATCATAGGCGTTATAGGCTTTCAAAAGAGCAGTTAAACCTACAACGGCACAATATAAAAGTACCTACAGCTTTAAAATAAAATACTTTTAAGGGTTTTAAACGTGAAATCCGATTCACTGATCCGTTCTTTAACAGGCAAGTAGTTGATCAGACTTCTGTGCCCTGCCCGACCGAAACAATTTTATGTTTCCAGAACCTCTCGCGCTTTACGCAACGCTAGGCAATACGTTTAACCATTTGGCTACAGAGGCGTTCAACTTATTCACAAATTATATCAACTACGGCCCGACGTTTCGGAATATTTGCAACAGCCGTAGTGGTTGCATAAATAACACTTAAACATTTCGCGTTTTAAACCGTGAAAAAGTTTTTCTCAAATGTGTACCAAGGAATAGACTGCGTAGAGTAATTAACAGACTTTTTTTATAATCCATCTTTTTAGGTATTATAATGTAATATATACATAAGAAGTAATAAATAAGTCTGCTAGAGGCAGACTCATAACAAAAAACATGATTTTCTATAAGAAGAGAAATAAACATGAGCAAATAAATTAAAATAATAGCAATTTATAAATAGGTCAAGTCATAAAATTGCAGTTAGGCTACTCTGCCTCTATTTAGCTATGTACGAGCCACTATAGATATTAAGAGAATTTGCAATTGATAGCAGGTAAGGTTAACTGAGCACCCGATCTTTTCTCGGCGTCTATAAGAAATACTGATAATATCTATACAATAACATAGTGGGTATGAGTACTAAAATTGGTATTTTGTTACAGATAATTTTTAACGCGTCCCGAAAGCATAATAATGCAGCAGTAAAATGTGAAGTTAGCAACTCCGTCGGGAAAAATGAGGCTGCCCTGACTCTAAATGTCACTTGTAAGTCTTCCGTTTGCTATTTTAAAAATGTTCCCTTGAATTTCAAACTGTATAAAAAGTTCGCGTTACTCCGACGGGGGGGTCATTCGATTGTGTCTTGTTTTTATGGAAATCGAGTCAATTTAAAATTTGAAAGTTGCTTCTTTATTTGAAAGAGAGAAAAGTACTTTTATTTGCCATCGAACATAACATCATGAGTCATTTAAATAAAACACTTTAACGGTTTAAAACGCGATATATTAGTTAAACTTATTTGGAACGCGTTTTAAACCGTTAAAGTGTTTTATTTAAATGTGTACTACTCGCGTAAACTATAGAAAGTATCATGAGTCATTTTACTTAATAAATAACGGATATATTTTTTACTCAAATATTCTTGGAAATCTAAACTTTTAATTTGACAATCTTCTCCGAGAAAAGTATTTGTCGTGTAATTTAACGATGGATAAATGGGACGTACTTCTACTCCACAAAATGGCAACCAAAGAGGTAACTTGTCAAAGGTCTAATCAAATTTCGAACTGGTTTGCTCATAGAAACCTGTCAAATGAATGCCCCTCGTGCCGACCGCTGCAGTAATGTACTATTGATTGATCTGGCAAGACGACCTATATGTGATTGTCATTAAAGGTTATAAAATCCAATATACCTCCATACCATAAAATATATATGCTTCACGCCTTTTCAGATCTGGTCTTTCTATAATTTTTATATTTAATGAAGGAGATGGGGGGGGGGGACGAAGTCCGATTACATTAAAAACTTACTATGACGTTATAAAATATAGTAAGTAAGATGAACAGAATAGATCACAACTTACCGTTCTTGTTTATACTCTTAGATCCTCCGTCTTTTCGAACGAGACCACGCAACCTGGAAGCAGAGATAGGTTCAAGTGTAACCCTGAGCTGTGACGTGGACGGTCAGCCTCAGCCGGAGATCAGATGGCTCTTTAACGAACCCGGCCGCATCGGGGTAAGTCATATCTTATTTATTACTTTGTAAATACAGAGATAGAGGATTATAGAGGAAAAAGAATTACGTCATATCTTCTCTTTTTTGTGGCAGAGTAGAAAAGACTAGCGTGGGTGTACTTGATGGATAATGAGCCTAGCTATATAACATCTAGCTATATGCGCTGTTGATCTATTTATAGCATTGGCCATTTATCTGTTCTCATGTAGCTTTAAATTCGTATTTGAGAATATAAAGCAGGCATAATAAAACAATGGTTATGACCGCTTCTGTAGCCAAATGGTTAAACGTATTGCCTAGCATTGCACTGAACGCGAGCGGACCTGGGTTCGAATCCCAATGAAAAAAAAAGTCCTATAAAAATAGAAGTCTGATCAACTACTTGTCCGTTAAAAGAACGGATCAGTAAAACGGACACAGAAATGTGTTTGCCCCATGCCCCACGAGGAACTGAAATGAGCTTTCACTGTTTTCTATAATTAAACAAGATCGAGTAGAATAACAAAGAAAAGATAGAGCAATGGCGAATTAATTAATGACATACAACATTAACAAAATTTACAGAATATATCATTATATTTTACCTTCCATTAAGTGAACCATGTGACTGTCTTTATAAAGTCTCTTTGGCTGAATAGTTAAACATAATATTGCGTAAGCACGACGGGTCCTAACTTCAAATCCAGGATTTCCCGGAAAGACTTTGTAACGCTTATATATGTCATAGACGAAATTTCGCTAATTTTTAGTTACGGAGAAACAATTAAGGTACTTTTAAGATCATAAAACTTTTATTTCGCAATGCAACTGTGGTTAAAAGGAGCGTCTCCAAACCCTTGAAAAGGCGGGATAGTTTATTCATTTGTACCAAATTAAACATTCATCTTGGCCCGCAATAAAATGTTTTATTACAACGGAGAAAATAAAAATGTGGCCCAAATATGACTCTCGCTAACAAGACGGCATTGTTACGTTGCGTCAGTTTTGGCTTTAAAATTTTTACTGGAGATTACTTTTGGTGGGTGGAAATACAGTTTTAAGACTTTTACTTGGACAATTGAATTGTTTACATCAGAACATGAATCACATTTAGTACCCTCTTATGCGTGTTAAGTGTCTTAATATATATACTTAGTGTGTATTAGCTTAGTTAGCTGTTAGTGTTAAATTACTAATTTAAATGTTTATTTTATTCCATATACTGCCTCTGTTGATATTTGCTTCTTTACGGTAATTCTGTTTTTCTTTTTACATGCAAAGGTTGCCTGGAAGAAATCCCTATAGGCGATAAGGCCATCTTTGCACAAACATTTTTATATGTATATATTATTTTAAGTGTCTATGTTCTACATCGGTGTAAATATGTTTGTGCTATAAAGAGCTTTATTATTATTTTATGTACGTCCCCCGACGTTTGAGATTAAATATGAAAATCAATTTAAAAATCAGGCGGTTCTCGAATCCACGGCCTCGGCCATATTTTACCCTTGTAATTGAACTCTCGTGTTTCGCTATATTTCCGTATAGGGTTAGCTATCTTATACAAATATGAAACCAAGCTTGATTTTTAAATAGCCATATACTTCCAGCAGGTTAAAGGGAAGGCCCCGAACTTGAAGGTGCTGGTAGAAAAGGCAACAGCTGGCCGCTATATCTGTAAAGCCAGCGTTGAAGGTTACCCTGAGATCGAGAGTGAAGCTACTATCTTCATAAAAGGTAAATAAAAGATATGTTAAGTTTTTCATCTATATAGAATCAACAGAATAGTATAATTTAAAATAATATTTTTTCTTTTACTAGGACCACCAGAGATCCTATCAAACAAAACGCAAGTGGGTTCTGAAGGCGAACGAGTATCTATAGAGTGTGAAGCGCTTTCAGTTCCGAAGCCAGACGATATCCGATGGTACTTTGAAGGGAAAGAGATAAATTTTATTCAAGATCCTGTAAGTAAATCAAATATTAACTGCCTTATTAGTGTAGTATTCGGTGCACCGATTTCGGTCCAGGGTTCGAATTGCTACTTGTGCGACAAGTAAGTTTAGTATTTAGATTATTTCTTAGACGTTCTAGTGGACACCAGCCTGAAGTTTAGAAGTAGATGTGCCCCATGTATTGACGGTAATCCTGGTAAGGGGTTGTCCATTAATCATGTGAAGCTTAAAAGGGGGGGGGGGGGGTTTGCTAAAAATCACGAAAATAACACAAGGGGGGACGTGGGGTGTAGTAAGATATCTCGTGTATTTATTTTTTCGTCAAACGCTTGTTTCAAAATTCTAAAAAAAAGGTCACGTGATTCGACAGGTCTCGGGTATCAGCGATTGAATAGGTGGTAGAAATATCAAAGCTTGACCGGGTCACGAACCACCGTCCAAAAATGAAAAACCCGTAAATTTAAATCGCTTTTCGGTTTCAGTCTGTAGATTTCGTAATATCCAAAGCCGAAACAGTTCGACAGCGCTTCTTGCTTAGATGTTATACGGCTGGACTCGCTTATTATCAAGTGATCCTCACGCTTGTTTCTCTTCTTTCTATAAAATAGAAATTACTGGTTCCCCAATCTACTAAGACTTCTACCCTACAAGGTAAATGTTGAATCGAAATTAAATAACGTTATAATTTAATTGTAGGATTACGCGACGAAATTAGATGACTCTTCACCGGATGGCGTCGTGAAGTCGAGTCTAGTGATACGACTCAGCCAGGCTAAACACTACGGAACATACAACTGTAGTGTAACTAATGAGTATGGGAATGCTAATGCTGCAATAGTACTTAAACCATTAAGTGAGTATTGAACACTAACTAAATTTTAAAGGGTGACACAGTATTTAATAAGTGTTTTGTATTAGAAGACTGAATTTCCGTTTCCTTTGCTGGGGCCAGGTTCAGAAACAGACACATTTATGTGCCTGTTTTCTGATGCTTTTTTAGCCTTTACTCGGCCTGTTCAAAGCTATTGATAATTTTTTTGGGAAAATCTAATATGAAGCCTCTCAAATTTAACGCAATTTAATTACGGAAATATTGACAGAGTGAAAATTAGTCATAATTACGTAATTGACAAAAAAATGTCCCGTGTGAAATTCAAACATGGCTTTGTTTCTTAAATAAACCTTATTTAAATAGTAAAGAATCAAATAATTTGATCAGTTACTTATGTAGGATTTATTTCATAGTCAGGTAAACGAATTACCAAGACTCGTATATGTAACATGTTTTTTTGTATATAGATAGTTTATTGGAACTTCCTTTTCAGAAACCCTGCCTCTATTCATAATAATCACCGGAGTAACATCAGGAATCATATTCTTCTCCGCACTCATCGTTCTTCTAGTACTCTGTAATAGACGAAGAAGACAGAAGACACAAATGAATGAGAAACCAGATGTTACAGTTACAACTGGAGATGCTTATAATAAGGAGAGTGATAGAAGTTCCAATATTAGTGACTTGAAGCTACAACTGCCACAGGGAGATGGCAGTTATGACTTGGTATGTCTAACACACCTCATGTAAGCGATACAAATTTTCGTAGATGTGGCCGTAGCCATGTACATAACATAAATGAGAATGAGAAAGTGGATGACCTTATAAATAAAACGCTTTTAACGAGTTTAAACACGAATGTAATAGTTAACTAATTTACAATTTAAATATGCCCGACGGACGTTTTGAACGCTGTGCAGCAGCCGTTTAGTCAGTCCCCCGTGACCGCGACTGTACAAAGCATCAAAACAGCGGGCGGTATAAATTAACTAATAATTTTGCTTATTAAACTGTTAAACATTTTTCATTTAGCATGGTCTTTATTATTATTGATGTGTAAGAGGACCTACTATTCCCAGTCAAATAACTATCGAGTAGACTATATAATTAAAATAAGCCCACACAACATTTTCAGTCAGGCTAAATTTCATTCAGTATGTTACTTAGAAAAACATAAATACAGATATAAAACAATAATAGACATGCTTGTCGATCTTTTGCAGTCATAAAAAACGGAGATGGCTTGTCATTAACTCAACATCGTCTTTGTATCAAAGATCTCATTCAGTATTGTGATTTTTAGGAGTACACCAGTTCTGATCGCTCAGATTCCAAGAATCCAACAGGGCTGCCACTAGCTGGGCCCGTACCGCTCCCATCGATACGACACGACGATCCGATGTTACAATTTCGATACAGCAACGACTATTCCGATCAAAGCTATGCTGACCACTATTTCAAGGTAAGATTATTCTTTTACAAATTCGTCTAGAAATCAGGATATTGAAGGGGGGGAAAAAAAAAATTTTTGATCCAGGCCGTGAGATGGGATATTATAACCAAGTTACTATATATGTTGTTTAAATGTTATAAGGCCTCTCTTCACTTGTCTTTCTATCATAATCCGAAAGTATATTTATAATTACTTTTGAGCCGTTGGAATACTTAAGTGTCATTAATAAATTGAACTTATTTGTTATCCTTTAGAATCCAGCTGCCTACGTTTACGACTACCCACAAGGATATGTACCGCCTCCACATTTGAGGGTACAATCACCGCCACAGTTAGATGTTCCTTCCAGTAGGTAAGTAATAACAGATATATCATACGACAAATCCGGGGGGGGGGGGGGGGGGGGGGGGGAAGGGGGGGGGGGGGAAGGGGGGGGGGGGGGGGGGGGGGGGGGGGGGGGGGGGGGGGGGGGGGGGGGGGTTTTTTTGGGGGGGGGGGGGGGGGGGGGGGCGGGGGGGGGGGGGGGGGAAAAAAAAAAAAAAAAAAAGGGAAAAAAAACCCCGGGGGGGGGGAAAAACCCCCCCCCCCTGGGGAA